TATACAGCATTTTATTAATTATATTATACCAATTATATAGTTATTATACTATTTTTATTATACGGTATAATATAATTGCTCATCCCTAATGGTGGGTAACTAGAAATAGTCTGAACACCAAATCCAGGTATAATCTAATACGTGGTGAAAACGTAACATACTCTGGTAGGTTTAGGTCATAGATAAAAGTTGTCTAAGCTTGTATTCTTAAGATAAATATGTAGCCATATAAGGCAATATTTAATAATATCTAATAAAGATATAGGCAAAACCTCACCTTAACACTAAAAAAAAAATAAATAAATAAATATATATAATTATATAAAGGTGTATAAAAGATGCAAAGATATATAAAATATGCAAAATTTATATAATTATTTATTAATTACTTTAATTTTTGTAATTGTCAAATAACTGACTCTAGAACCCTGAAAAATCTTCAATTCCCAAGAAGATTATATTAAGCTCTTAAATATTAGCTTTCTAACTGTAATAATGTATATTAAATTTTTATCTCAAATAGATAATGCATTTAGAAGTATAACAAAATAAAAACCTTGATTTGGTAAGAAAATTTTATTAACCCAAATATTATAAAATTCTTTATTCTTATTGGCCAAATTTAGAATTAGTCACGTGCATACCTTTTTACAGAGGCGAATATATATGCTTTGGTCTCTAAAAAATTGTGCACGTGCAAAATATAGAGGGCATCTAAGTCCCAAGCTTGGGACCGGGTTATGGCATGCATATAGAGAGGATGTGCACTAAGAGAGTATGCACTTAAGGGGTGCGACTATAATCTGTTATAGAAGAAAGATCGCTAAGCACTAATAAAAAAATCGTGACTAAAGACGCTTATATTAACTGTGCAAAATAATCTCAAAATAATCTTAACCTCTACGAAATTTGCTTAGAAGACAAAATATGCCTGCAGTTTATTGGACAATCTTAGATTATACTGAAATAAAGATAAATGGGAACGTTTTTGCTCAAAACTGCCTTATTACGTTAGATTAAAAAATCTTTTATTATTGACTATTGAATTTGAGTAAGAATAGGTTTACGTTAAAGAAGTTCCGAGTTTAATACTTGTATATGTTTAGTTTTTGCGTGTGTTTGGGTCCGTCAGCCGTAATAAGTTTTGGTTTATGGATTGTAGATTGTATTAATGAGTTTGGGTTTATTAATAATGAATACCGCCTTTACTCCACTTTACATGTATCTATCTATTTTCTGTGTATTGAAATAAATCAATTCTTTTGCATATTGTTTAATTTGTAACTTCTTCGCACGAAGTTCTAGTATTATTAAAGCGAAGAATTTTTAAAAATTATGTAATTTGATTGGCTAATTATCACGGGTGATCACGGGTAGATCTATAAAAATTAGCCAATCAGAAGATCTTCCTCCATAGCAATTCAAGAATAGATAAATAGATCGATGATTAGATGAGAGAATCTTAGAGTTTATAAATTTGTGGCGTTTAAATTGGTGGGCTGAGTCTGGCTGGAAAGCCCGAGCCGGCATTCTATTCCGGCTTTTTTTTTTTTTCTGGGTCGGGCTTGGACCTAAAAATATTTTTCAGGTTTGTATTTGAGCCTAGCCAAGCCCGTCCTAGCCAACCATGTGCCCTATACTGTATTAAGTTTTGTAATGTCGCTACGTACGTATTTAATTTTTAATTTACTTTCTTAGTTTTGTTACTGTTATACATATATATATATAGTAATATATTAATTTTATAAATATTATAAATAAATAAATAAATAAATAAAAAATATTATTATTATTCGTTACTGTATAGTTGCACAAATGGCCAGTAAAAATTCTTAATTGTTTCTGCTATTAATAGTATTAATAGTATAAATTAACAAAATATTTATAGTTTAACCATTTTGAATGATTGCTAATGTCATGACCCATGATTGATCCATAAAATTGATCTTTCAAATCAAGTCAGACTAACTGCATAACCGAGCGGCCTATATAAAAAAGATCAAAAAATCATGCATTTAAAGAAGTATTGCATTAGGGAGGTAAAAATCTATAAGTATGTTATGCGTTGAGGCCAAACAAAACAAGACAATGCATTTAAGGAGGTTGCATTTAGAGAGGTCGCATTTAGGGAGGTTGCATTTAGGGGGGCCTGACTATAATAATGATTTTTTACTTGGTCAAAATCTGGTTGCCATGAGTTCGGTAGTAATGAGTGCCATCAAAAGCCTGTCGGGCTTTCGTTCCAGACTCCAGGACTTGTCTATTAAAAATCTGATCAGCATGTATTATACATAACGTATAATACAGTAATATGTTGCTGATCAGACTTTTCATGGATGAGTCCTGGAGTCTGGAACGAAATGTAGTTGGAAATCTGATGGCAGGTTTTCCCTTGACGGCACTCATATGAGTCATCAAGAGTCCTCGTTATAGTGAACTCTCGGTATAATAAAGTTCAGAACCATATTATATGTTATATACTATAAAAGGTAAGCACACCTTTTTTCGGATCAATCCTAATGCTGGATTATATACTTCATCTTTATCGCGTTAGCAACTAATTTGTGTATAAAATAGTTAAAAAGAAGTTTATTTTATATACAAATTAATTTATTAATTGGCCGACGATAAAAAAATCAATGATATTATCCACGGAAATAAGACTGATCCTCGAAAAGGCACGTTTACCTTATTGTTTATACAATATTTTATTAACAAACCAATTAAATTTTTTCTACGTTGCAAAAAATCTTAGTTTAAAAATTAATATCTATTTATATAAAATATATACGTATTAATATATATATATATTAATAACTCGAATTTTTAATTTTGCAAAATTCTGTTATAAACTATTCTTTGCCCCATTCTAAAACCTAATCTTAGCTTTAATCTCTTTTTTTTTTAGTTGGTCTTTATAAAATTGGTTTGATTTGTAATAACGATAATGGATAGAACAATAATGATAAAAAGCTTGTAATCCGAAATTTATAAAAATATTTGCTAAAACACGAAAAATAATATCTATAAATCTGATTGGTAAATGATGTAAATTATATATACTTAGTATACGAGTATATGCAATATGTAGGACTATACCCTAACGTTAATAAAAGAATCTTGAAAGTCAGACAAACCTGATTGGATTGATATAAAGTGCAATCCATGAAATCTGCTGTTATGCGTAAAAAACAAAAAAAAAAAAAAAAAAAAACTTTATCGTTATCGTTATGAAAAATCTCGATTAACTTGCATATGTACAATGAGAAACTTTGCATGCTGTATATAGCAAATATTTGACCCGCAAAAAGAAGTGTTTTTTTTTTAAAAAATAATAATAATATCGATATGCTAAAATACATTATAAAAACATCATAATTTTTTTTGCTTTTTTTAAATATACATATATATTTATATATGACAAAGTAGTAATTTTCGATTAAGATAACGAAAAGCATACATAATTAAAATCTACATGATATTATAAAATCTACATGATATTATAAAATCTTACAATTCGCAATTGTTGTAATCTATTAGAAATTATCCTTAGTTAACAAATATTAATAGTGCCATATGACAGTAATCTAATTACCATCACAAGCACCAAGTAAAATCGCAAAGATCGCGACAAAAAGATTAATTACATCAAGATATAAATCAACTGCTGCCAACACATATTCTGAAAGAGAAAAGAAACGAGAAATTAAAAAATTAATGTTAATAAAAAATTAATAAAAAATAAGAATGCTAAAAGAAAAGAAAATAGAGAATTACCTTCAGGACTAACCCGTTCAGCTAACATATAAGTATCATAAATGATATAGGCACTGAATAAGAGTGCAGCTATTGCACTAATGACAATATTATAACTACGATCGAATGGAAGAAACCATCCAAAAATAAATGCAAAGATTAAAACCCAAAGAGTCGCATACAAGAATGGACCCCAAGAAGAAAAGTCCCATTTTGATTGGAAGGTAAAAATTTCAAGAGCAATAAAAACACCAGCAGTTATTAAAAAAGCTTGTAGTACGATCTGTTGAGAATATAAAGACACTAATTGAAAAAAAGACAAATGAGAATGAATGTAAAAAAAAAAAGATAACAATTTTAACAAAGATTATACACACCTACAGAACCTACACCATAGGAAATAAATAAAGTAAATAGACCTAATAAAATTAAATTAAATGGATGTTTTTTACGTAACCAAAATAGAAGAAGAAGCACAACGAAGGCTGCAAGCCAAGAAATATAAAAAAGCAACTGACTAAAGAAGACGAACAAGTTATTACAGAATGAATCAGATAAATAAGAATTGAATAAATTATGATACATACTAGTTAGTCACAAAATCTTTTGCGGGCTGAAAGTACATAAAGAATATGGAAATTCCAACAGTTGTAAATAATTGAAGAGTAAGAAGGCCATACACTTTTCTTATAAAGGCTATCGATTATAGATAAAGAAGGAATGAAGCGATGAATATAAGAACATTTATTACATTATTACATTATTATATATAACTTTTTACACACCCATTCTAATCTGCCTATCAGTTTGTAATTTACTTTTTATTTCTTGAGCTTTTTCAGCCTCGTCGGGCATTTGAATTGTATGACTATCATCAAGGCGTGTATGATCCTTCTCGAACCCATCACCGTAAGCTGGTGGAGGAACTTCAGGAGCTACTTTAGTCATTTGGTATTCTTTGGGGGAAACATCGGATTTGCTTTGTTGCGATGATGATAAAGTTTGTGAGGTTGTAAGATTTTCGGGATGAACGGTTGAAACCTGTATTGAATGTACGTTTACGCCTCCAACAAGACGATCGTGGCTATTATGAGATATTACGTCTGATGGGGATTGAGAAGATATAGAAATTGATTCACGTGGAGAACTAGTTTTATCTTTTTTTTGTTGCGTTATATTGACATTTGATTTATTATCCAAAGATATATTTGCATCCTCATCTGTCATGTTTTTTTTTATTTTGATCTAAAGATGATTCGGAGACTCAGCCTTTGAAATACAATAATATATATATATTACAATCCTTAATTAGTAAGAACAAAATTTGCAGGTTGTCCAGACAAACGAGCAAATATTTCACACGACAGAGAACTCCAATAAAACAAATACCGAATTTAATAGATGCAAATTTATAAAGGATTCAGTGAACAAAAGCAAATAAAATATATTTATATCTTTTTCGACCATATTGGCAATGCACAAGTTATATAGCAATATCTTATTAAGTAACCATGCAACTGCATGAAAATGTATTGAATACATACAGTATTACCCCCGTACTGTATTACTTTGGTTACCTCAATGTACTCGATGTGGTACCCTGAATAATTTGTAACACCTTTCTGAAATAGTTTCGAAACAATATACATCGTACCTTTGTGTACCTATGTATGTACATACCTACGTATTTTTTGAATTCTTGGCTTCTTATTCTAACTATTTTTAAAATGTTAACTTATAAAGCCTTGGTTTGGTTCATGTCAAAGTCACTACTCTCCCAAAATTAAGCATTGTATTGAAGCGCCTCAACAACTTGCATCATTTACGCAATACATTAATTAAAAATGGCGCCAACAGCGCAATATTTATCCGATCAAATGCTATTTATAGAAATGATGATCAAAAAAAAGCTATAATTAATATTGATGACCTAATAATCCTAATCATTAATTTATTAATTGGATCTAAAGCCTTAACTTGAATTTTAATGAAAATACTTTATAGATATTTATTTATTATTGCGCTTGTAACAAACTTCAATATATGATAAAAATAGCTTCTAATAGATAAAATAAAAACAATTGACTTTTTCTCAATTTGTAACACTGCCCAAATATCCTATTTATATGGTAATTGATTTTGAATTTACAAATATGTAAATGTTAGAAAGTTTAGTATTAAAATTGAACACATTGTTATTGTTACTACTAAAGCCGGGCTAAGTTAATTCTTAACATCTAATTTTGGTTATTGGATAAATTAAAATTTTCTATTCTGGAATGGAATAGACCCATGTAAAACTGTTACACCGATCGCGTTATATGCATAGGTGCAGATTAAATAGTGTAACGTTTAGAATCCCATCTCCAAACTGCAGGATAAAATTCATACATGATTGAATTCCTTTAAATTATTCGTTCGTAATTGAGGTATAGATATATATATATATATTGCTTCTGAAGTAGCTGAGTAGCTAAGTACGTACTTACCCATCTGAAGTAGCCGCTTTAGATATTTGAAGTAGC